AATTCTCCTTGGTAGTAGGAAGTCCTCCACAAGAGCGACTTACCTTGCCAAATGGAAGAGATTCTCCCACTGGTGCGAGCCTAATCACATACAGCCTCTGCAGGCCTCCATCCCATCAATACTGGACTACTTGCTGCACCTCAAACATCAAGGGCTCGCCCCCTCCTCAATTAAAGTGCATTTGGCTGCCATATCGGCGTTCCACCCGGCAGAGTTGGGGCATTCGGTGTTTTCCAACCCCACAGTAGTCCGATTTCTCAAGGGGCTGGAAAGGGTGTTCCCCTACTCACGCCTGCCAGTCCCTACATGGAACCTTAACCTGGTCCTAACTAAGCTCATGGGACCACCCCTTGAACCCCTAGCCTCTTGTTCTCTCATGCACCTCTCATGGAAGGTAGCGTTTCTAGTGGCCATTACATCGGCTAGGAGGGTGTTGGAGTTGAGAGCCCTCTTTTTGGAACCTCCATATACAGCTTTTTATAAGGACAAGGTGCAGCTGAGACTGCACCCCAAATTCCTCCCTAAAGTGGTCTCGCAATTTCATATGGGGCAGAACATCTGTTTACCGGTGTTCTTCCCCAAACGGACCCGAGCCACTGCAGCCTGCATACCCTCGATGTCCGTAGGGCCCTGGCGTTCTATCTGGAACGGACCAGGCCATTTCGCAAATCGACACAACTGTTCATTGCCATTGCAGAGAGAATGAAAGGCCGCCCTATCTCGGCACAACGGTTATCATAATGAATCGTGCTTTGCATCCGCACATGCTATGAGCTGGCCAAAGTACCAGCCCCGGTGATCAGGGCTCACTCAACTAGGGCCCAAGCATCCTCGACGGCTTTCCTGGCACAGGTTCCACTCCAGGGGATCTGTAAAGCGGCCACCTGGTCGTCGGTGCACACATTCACAGCCCATTACACAATCCATCATCAGACCAGAGAGGACGCGGCGGTGGGCAGGGCTGTGCTTCAATCAATTGTTGCTTGACTCCTACCCTCCTCCTATGGTAAGCTTGTGAGTCACCTAATGTGTAATGGACGTGAACAATCACTCGAAGAAGAAAAAACTGTTACCTACCTTTTCGTAACTCTTGTTCTTCGAGATGTGTTGTTCACGTCCATTACACTTTCCACCCTCCTTCCCCTCTGTCAGAGTCACCGTCAAGAAGGAACCGAGGGAGGGTTGGGTCGGCAGGTGTTATATATACGCTAGAGCAGGGCGCTGCTCTGGCGGGGGGGGGAGGGGGACCCGTGCCAGCCCGATGGGAGCCGCTGAGGGAAAAAGTTTCCGACGTCCGTGCACGCAACGCACGCACACATAATGTGTAATGGACGTTTTTTTCTGTAATAAATCAGGACTTAGTCTCTGAGTGGACACTTATTTATTTGGATTTTTAAAAATTTGTCAACCAGTATTCTGGGTGCCTGAAAAAACAACAGAAATGCAAATAATACTGTGTTTGGCATATTTCTCAGTTATGTTTAAATGTACAAATAACACAGGAGTTGTTACATGCGTCTGACGAAGTGGGTATTCACCCACGAAAGCTTATGCTTCAATACATCTGTTAGTCTTAAAGGTGCCACAGGACCCTCTGTTGCTTTTTACAGATCCAGACTAACACGGCTACCCCTCTGATACAGCTGTAATTGAGGCTAAATTTGAAGTGCTTTATGACATTAAATTAGTCTTGAAAGTGAAAAAAACTGTTCTACAGACTTTTTAAAAATAGTTCTACATACATATTTTTAAAATACTTTTAAATATTAAAGGTTTTAATGACAGCAGTCCTCAAAAAGACTAGTACATCATCCGTTAATTACTTGAGAGAGGTTTATTCTCTAATTTGGCAGTGCCGTGAGGTGTCAGCATAAGTAAAGAATAGTTCACCTGCTTTTAACACATTATGGGTTTTAGGTCTACATGGTGCTGGCAAAGCCCACTAAAGGAGTGTTGTTTGTAAAATGTTCTAATGTGCTGTGCTCTGACTGCCCCATGTAGACCCTTCTGACACACTCTAAAAGTTATCTAGTTCTCTTTTACAAAGGGCAGGGCTACACTAGAAGCGCTACAGCTGCAGCGGTGTGTCTGGTGAAGTTGCTCTATGGCGTCAGGAGAGTGCTCTCCCATCAGTATAATTACTGCGCTCTGAGAGAGGTGGAAGCTATGTTGGCGGCAGAGCGTCTCCTGCTGACATAACGGTTGTGTAGACTGCGCGTAAGTTTCTATAATTTGGTCGCTTGGGGGGTGTCTTTTTCACACCTGTGAGCGACGTAAATTAGATCAACTTAAGCACTGTAGTGTAGACCTGCCTATAATCCTATGGTACCTTTTAGAATGCCCCAGCAGGATCTACACAGGGTAGTAGAGCGCAACATGTTAGTGTACCGTATAAATCACTCCCCTCTGGAGTGCTTTCCATGCTATGTAGACAAGCCCTTTATCTTTGTTTAAATAATTAATTGTAACCAAGTTGTGATGACTGAGCAGGTAATGTATTTTCTCTGTTAAAACTCCAATCGTTACAAATTCTACTTCAGATATTTTGAGATGGTGTCAAAGTATACTTTGACTTGTGCATAGGATGTTCATGGATGAAATTGGTTGTCATGACCCCTACAAAGTCTGTCCACTTATGCAGTTAGTTCATACTATGGAATGGTTTCTTTCCTCTAGCTTCTTTTGAAAATGTTTACACTTGCAGCCCTGTGGCCCAATTGTGCAAGCTCTCCACATGCGGGACTTCAGTTAGTACTACATACTGTTAGGCCCCTTGCTGGTTCTGTCCCATACACTAATTTCCCTCTGCATGATGAAACTTTTCCAATATTCCAAGAAGGATAAAGGAGGGATGAGTCTCAGTTGCTTGGAAGGAGAACTAGCCAGCAAGCAAGTGTCTTTGAAGGAGGATGCTGCAACTAGTAAACAAAGGCAGGTGAAATGTACTAAACCCAACCTTCTGCTTGAGAGAGAGACAAGTTAGCATTGGTTATATCTTGTTAACTACCATGGCTAGTAACAAACTCCCTCAATTGCCAGCTTTTCCAGCACCTACTACCCTTGCTCTGCTCTTTCTACTAGTAAGCACAATAAAGGTATTAATTACACAGAGTTAAATATTTCAGCTGTCCTTGAGTTTATCAACAATGGCTGTACGGGTCTTCCCATCCTTTAACTCTCCTGTGTGCATGCTTGCCAGCTTACTTCCTCTCCTCCTCTAAACCATTAGGGCTAAGGCTTACTCTCTTCCTCACTCTTGTTGGAGTCTTGGAACAGGGAGGCAAGTTTTGGGGATTTCTTTCCTCTGTCACAGCACCTGAGCATAATAGCTGGGAGATGGTCTATTAGCAGCAACATCCTCTCCCCATCTGAGAATTCCTCCAGGCTCACTAGACACCTGGGGAGACCCTGTTGCTGAACTGAAGCGGGATCATTAAAGAGAAAAAGTGGATATAACATTTAACTAGTAAAATTAACTTAAAACACACACACTGTTGCAGTTAGGGTTACCATACGTCCGGTTTTTCCGGACATGTCCTGCTTTTCGGCAATCAAACCCCCGTCCGGGGGGAATTGCCGAAAAGCCAAACATGTCCGGGAAAATGCCAGCCAGGCACTTCCCCTCCCGGGGCTGCTCTACTCCGCTCCTCCCCTCTCAGACTACCGGCTTCGGGCAGCCCCCCCTGCCTCTGGACCCCGAGTCGCGGGCCAGGCACTTCCCTTCCCGGGCTCCAGCTGAGCTGCTCCGCTCCTCCCCTGTCAGACTTTAAGAGCTGAGCTGCCCGAGCCAGCGCTACCGGCTTCGGGCAGCTCGGCTCTTAAAGTCTGAGAGGGGAGGAGCGGAGCACCTCTGCGGCTCTGCTCCTCCCCTGACACTTCGGCTCTGTTTAAGAGCCGGGCATGGGGGCTGCCCGAAGCCGGTAGCGCTCGGGCAGCCCAGCTCTTAAAGTCTGAGAGGGGAGGAGCGGAGCAGCTCAGCTGGAGCCCGGGAAGGGAAGTGCCTGGCCAGCGGCTGGGGGTCCGGAGGCAGGGGGGGCTGCCCGAAGCCGGTAGCGCTGGCTCGGGCAGCTCAGCTCTTAAAGTCTGAGAGGGGAGGAGCGGAGCAGCTCAGCTGGAGCCCGGGAAGGGAAGTGCCTGGCCAGCGGCTGGGGGTCCGGAGGCGGGGGGGGTGGCGTCCAACGGTGT